TCTCTTCCTGCGCCTTTCTGGGCCACAGTCCCCACCCCCCATCATGCAGGGGAAGGTGGGGAGTCCCACTCATTTGAGAAGTCCACTTCTCTGAGCTGCCCGCCCCCCCCCCGGACGCCAGCGTTGTGTGACGCAGAAGAATTTTCTGTTCCTCCTGACCAGGCCACCAGCAGCCACAGTGTGAGTCACGACCCCCTCTCACCCCCGCACCCAGCCTCCAGCTAGGGGATGTCAGATTTGCCCTCCCCACACCCTGCCCACTTCCGTGCTTTCTAACTAGTCCCCACCCCAGCATCCCTCCTCCTGCCAGGTTAGTGTCACTGTCACAGTCCTCCCCTCCTGGACTGTGCCCCACACCGCCCACGACTCTGAGCACATGGCGTCACCCACAGCACCACCACCGAGAGGTACTTCTTGAATGAGATAAAAAGATTAGGTCCTTAGAACCTGTCAAACCTGGGTTAAACCCGCCCCTTGGAGGCCTCAGCTCCTCCCTGGAGAAGGGGGACACGCGGCCCCCACAGACGTGGGAGAAGAGCCCCCAGACCTCCGCCTCAGGTTGGGGTGCGGGCTCCCTGGCTGCGCCCCGGGCCTGGGCCGTCTGTCTTCCTCCGGGAGGAGACCCTCCTTTGCTGGCTCTGCACCAGCCCTCCCCTGTTGTCGTCTTCTGAAGGGTCACCCTGAAAACAGGTTTGACTTTTCAACATTAAATTAAAAACGGGGTTTTAGTTTGTTTAGACAACTGTGCTGGTGAAACCTTACTGAACTGAAGCCTACATCTCAGGAAATGTAGTTAAAACTAAACCAACCTCAGTGATCTCAGAACCTCGTCCAACTGTACCAACATCACGTAGGAGCTGAGGTCACGCGTCTGAAGGGACACTCGTCAGAGGCTCGGCCTCAGCTAGCTTCACCTCGTTAATACAATCCCATTCAAGCCCGCCGAGGCAAACTGCACACACGGGTAGCATCTGAAACGCAAGTGTCAGTGGCTCCCTCAGACCCCGACAGCGAGTTCCACTGGTTTTGTTACACTCTTCTGTATTTTTCAAACTTCCTACCAAACAGATAAACCTACAATCAGAGAAGGCAATATATGTAATTCGTACAAAGACAGCCAGCTGTGGACAGCGACCCCCGGGGGGCGAGGGGACCGTCCGACGGCACAGCCGCCCGAGCCTCGGCCCCTGGGAGGCGGCTCTCAGTCTGCTGCTCAGACCACCTGATGGGCAGGTTCAAGCTGTTTCCAGGAAGCTGAAGCTGAAAACCACACTGGACTTCCTGTCAACGGCAGACCTGAGCCAGCGCCCGCCCAGCACAGCCCAGCGGATGGGGATGTCACTCGAGGGCCGGACGGCTGCGGTGGAGTCTCAGAGATGCTGCCCAGGGCCTCGTGGGGCCAGCGCTCTGGGACAGCACAGCCAGCAACAGCGGCACCTGCTGGGGCGCTCTCGCAGGGGACGGGCCTGCCCAGCTGCCCCGACCCTGGGACCCAGCTGGGCCACCCAAAAGGAGGTGCCCCGCACAGGCAGGCAGCACCAGCCCCCTTTGGAAGAGGCTGACCCGGGGCCCCCAGGGTCTCAGGTCCATGCAGATCCAACCCAGACACAGACCCGGCCACACTCCCTCTGCCCACTCCCAGCGCCCCTCCGCCGCTCCACCACACGGAGAGGAGACCCTCAGGTGGGCTGCACGTGGCGCGCTGGGCGGGGGTTCTGTGTGCCGCCCTCGCGTCAGACATCCATTTCTGAGAAGGGCTTCGTGGGTGGACACGGCCTCCTCCAGGACCCTCGCTCAGATGAGCTGATGGGCTCAGACACCCTGGCAAGACCTTCCGCTGGGCTGGGCTGGGGTGTTGCCGCACTCCCCCCACCGTGACCCGTGAGCCAGGCGGCCACCGGGGACACGTGCCAGCTGCCTGACCAACCCCAGCTGGAGCCCGCGGACTGTCCGTGTCACCAACCCTGCGCCCAGCCCACTGACCCTCATCCCCACCCCAAGCTCAAGGTTCAGGCCCTCCTCTCCACCCATCAGCCCCACACTGGGCTCCTTGTCCCCCACGGGACGCCCCAGATCAGCCCGAGAAAGCCTTCTACTCAAGCCGCTTCACCCTGTTGAACACACGCGCTGTTATCCGCCCAAAAGTTGAGATCTCCTCACAGCCAGGGACCCCATGTCTCCCCGGACGGCAGCGGTCCACCCCAGAGCCTCAGCCCCGCCCACTCCTCCCCACGTGCTGCTCCACTCGGTCAGCGACAGAAAACAGCTGAGCTGGCCGCCTGCCGGGGACAAGCCAGCCCCGGTCACCTCTGCAAGAGAGCATCTCAGTAAAACCTGGGAAGTCTCAGTAAAGAGGAGGCGTCTGCAAGCCAAAAACTCTCTTCCCTTCCTCCCGCCCCCATAATTTTAGATCTCTCCTCAAACTTTATTATGTTAATACACGAGGGGTCCACGACTGCTGCAGGAAAACTGAGAATCAGAAGCCTGAGGTCAAGTCACCCGAGGGCCCAGAAGAAAAGTCCCCGCCCACTTGTGGCCCACACGCCTGGGGGCACTGCCCCGCGGCCACCTGCTGGGGACGAGCTGAGGGGCCAGAGCCAAAGGGCGGCCTCGAAGGCTGGGTGGAGGGGCCCTCTGAAGACCGAGGCCCCCCCCAACGAGGCTCATCCTGGTCCCGGCGGCGTGTCCAGGTTTCTCGAACCGCGGGAAGTAACCGGGTCCTGAGAGGGGCCGTGTGGGCGCACACTGCGCCGCCCACCACACCGGCCCTCGGTTCTGAGCGCGGAGCCAACACGGGGGCGCACGGCGGATGCCCTGGGGTGCGGGGCGGACGGGCGGGGGCCACGCTCCTAGCAACGCTTTCATCTGCCTGCTTCTCTTCCAGACTCGTGTTCTCAGGTCCTTCACTCAGGCGTGAAGCCAGGGTTCCCCAAGACCATCAAGACCGACAACCCAGACGTCCTCAGGGCGGCCAGACACAGCGCCGAGAGGTTCAACAACTGCTCCAACGACGTCTTCCTGTTCAAGGAGTCGCGAGTCCGCAGAGCCCTCGTCCAGGTGGGTCTGGGCTCCCCGCCTGCAGCTGCCCTTTCCCTGCACAGGCGTCACACCCTGCAGGGTCCCAAGGCTCCTCAGCGACCCTGTACAGGCAGCTCAGCCCCCCCATCCCAGGAGGGCCTCCAGGGCAGCCAGGCCAGGCTCATCCTCGGTCCCGAGCACACACGTCAGCAAGGGCCCAGGACAGTGACGGGACAGTCACCCACTGAAAGCAGGGCCCAGGGCAGCCAGTCAGCGAGCTCCGCGTTCACCCACTGGGGCGCTGGTGTCAGGTGGGCACAGGGGGCCGCTCCACGGGCTGACTCAGGACAACGGTCGCCCTGGGTCATGAGATGCAGGGTGACGTCCTCATCTTTATTCTCCTCGGGGACCGCAAGCGGAGAGCAGGATGCAGTCACCGTCATAGTGGGCATTCTGTGCAGTGGAGCGGCCAGCATCAGGTTCCAGGGGCCCAGACCCCGGTCTTCGCTCCCTACCTCACCCCCTCCCCCGTCTCAGGCCACGTCCTGCTGCTGGAGGAGCTGCAGCCGTCCGTCCTGGACCTGGTGACCCGGCTCTGTCCCCTCAGGTAGTGAAAGGCCTGAAGTTCATGCTGGACGTGGACATTGGGAGAACCACCTGCAAGAAGACTGGGCACCCGAGCCTGGATGACTGCGACTTCCAGACCAACCGCACCCTGAAGCGGGTAAGAGGGGTCTCGCCTCCTGGCACGCAGGCCCCCACCCACCCCCACAGCCTCGGGCGTCACCCTCAGCACTTCTCTGTCCCCCAGGTTCCCAATCTCACCCCAGGCAGCAGTGCCACCGGAGAGCAGGGAGGCGGCAGCCCCCCAGGCCTCCCCAGGCGACCCCCACACTCCCAAAGGCACACCTGCAGGCAGTAAGCGCTGCGGGCTTGGGGCAGGGGAGAGCTTTCATGCAATTCAGAAATCACGGCGAGGAGGGTGCAGCTCAGCGGCAGAGCGCGTGCTTAGCACGCACGAGGTCCTGGGTTCACTCCCTCTAAGAATAAATAAACCTGATTAACTCCCCCACAAAAAAAAAGGTTTTTATTAAAAAAAAATTAAATACACACACATAAGGAGAGCAAATGTGGCAAAATTTGGTTAACCTGTAAATATGGATGTCGAATATATATTCTTGAATTATTACTTCGGTGTTTCTGTAGGTTTAAAATTTTTCGAAACAACTCAGAGCAGAGAGAGAACTGTTCAGTAAAGAAAACACACGTGCACACCCACGCGCACACCCACATGCGCGAGCACACCCACGCGCATGTGCAAACAGCCTCAGCAGCCGCGCTGGGAGCCCACCTCTGCGGCGGTGGGGGGGGGCAGGGGGCGGCCTCCAGGAAGGAGGACCCTCAGGCCCCCTTGTTCCAGGCTCTCAGCTGCTACTCGGAAGTCTGGGTGGTCCCCTGGCTCCAGAGCTTCCAGGTGCCCGTCCTCCGCTGTCATTGACCGCAGCCCCGGCCCCTGGCTCCCTTCCTGCCATCACCGCCTGGTCATCAGGACTCCAAAACAGCACCTCTCAGACGGCAGCGCGGGAGCCCACGACAGAACCACGTCACCACCTGCAGCCGGACTGAACATTCCACACGTGCTTCTAAACTTAACTAGTCTTCCCAACGCTGCCCACCTGGATTCAGGGCGAGTCCTCCGATGGGCATTACGTGGGTCCTGGACCCTGAATGCCCCGTGGCCCCAGGCTGCCAGTGAAAGCCTGGAGCCACCCTTCTGTCTGAATAATCCATTGCTCCAGCACCAGGCGGGGGACAGGCCAGCTCCTGCGCACCATGGCCTCTTGGGGCGAATAGTTACGAGTGGTAAACATGAATAAAGAACTGACCACCCAAAGGAATGCCTCTGCCAGACCTGCTCTGGGAGAACGGGGAAGCAGATGCGCATCGGGAGGCCCCTTTCCTCCACAGAGCTCTCCGAAGCTCTGCCATGCTACAACCAGAGCCCCAGAGACAGCTCCTCGCCTGGGAGGGGCTGGCCCCCCAGGCTGTGCAGTCCTGGGTGGGGGCCGCCCAAGGCTCGGCCCCTGTGCAGCTGTGCTTGGACAGGTGGGGAGGGGACAGAGCCGGAGACCCTGTGGCCCACCAGGGAGAGGGGAGAAGGCTGGGGCGGGGCGCAGGGAGACGCTGTGGGCTAGGTGGCAGGCTGGGCCACCCAGGAAGGTGACCAGACGTCTGAGCCAGTGAGGCCGAAGCATCCTCTTCAAACCATAGATGAGCACAAAGGGCGCTGTCACCTTTAGGAAAACGACTCGCTAAATTACAAGAAACAGGAAGCATGCATTCAACACGTACGGTGATTCAACACACTGTCGTAAATGTGACGGGTGAAAGCAAGGGACTGCACCCCCATCTAACTTACCACCCCTGGGGAAACAGAAAGCTAGGGCCCAGGGTTCTAAGATGACCAAAAAGAAGAAACGCTTGAGGTCTCAAACTGACCAAAATCAATCAGAGTTCAGAATTCCAACAGCCTGCCCTGAGCTTCCCCCCGCCAGGCCCCCCACACGCCGCCACATAGCCATGCAGATTCGGGGTTCAGCTCTGGGCCCCCATTCCAGCACCCAGCCCCCCAGGTTGCAGATGGGCCAGGCTGAGGAACGGCCACCGCCTGGGGGACCTACAAGGCCTCCGCCACACTGCTGCCTGGCCACCCGCAAGTCTGACCCCAGGCTGGGCGGCGGCCACCCAGTCTCCGCACCCCAGCACCCCCAGCAGCCTCGCCGTGCGCCGGCTGTGCCCCCAAGCAGGTCCCTCCGCAGCCTCAGCTCCCCCACAAGATGCAGCTGTGACCTTGTGTCACAAAAAGGTCAGGGTACGTGACAGCTGTTCAAGTCTGCAGAGGGCCCTGCAAGTCTCCAGGCAGGCCCTCCGTCCGAGAAAAGGCAGCACTGAGTCCCGCTGGCGTTTCTGGAACAGGTGGTGAGGAAGCACACAGTGAATGAGCCGTGCGATGTAGTTTTCAGAGCACGTGAGGGATTCACATTAGAGCGAGTCTGTCTGCTTTCCAACAAGCGCCTGTGGCGCACGCAAGCCTATGGAGGCTGCATTCTGCACCTCACTGCGGCGAATGCCAGGTAAAACACAGGAAATGACACTTTGAGACAGAAAGTCAACATCTGAGTCAAAAAAAGACGCCTTTGCTGGAAACTGTGAAAAGCTACCAGCTCCTCTGCACTGAGAGCAAAGCCCTCAGCTCCCAACCAAGAAGGAACCCGGGTGGGCACACCTGGGGTGCATGTCTACCGAAGAACGATCGGGTTCACTGACTATCCCGCACACTCACTAGACACCCGTGGCACACCGCTTCCCGTGAAAAAGCATTTCCCATGAAATGACATAACGCCAAGTCGTCACCAGGCAGGGCATGGGCCAGCCTGACTCTGCTCCACGCTGCTGAAAGGCCGGCCCGAGCCGGCGACCTGGGATGCGCCCCAGCAGATCCCGACTCTCCCACGGCAGGGGTGGGGGGCTGTGAGCGTCGGCCCCACCACGGCTGTCAGCCTCCCTGACCTGCAGCATCAGCTACCAACAGTAGCGTCTATTCAAGTTACAGAGGCAACTGCAGAGACACAAGCCCTGGCGCCTTCTCACGAACACCCAGGAGAGGAAGGAGCACCGAGCCCCGCTGTGCAGGCCGGAGAACAGGAGAGGCGGCCGCCGTGGGGGGGCCGCACAGACCTAAACCAGATCCCAGCGGGACAGCCGCTCCACGGGACACCGAGGAACCAGATCGCACTCGGCTGTTACGGTGGAAGAGACAGGAGAAACGCCCAAGCAAGGCCATCGGGGAGAAGTCCGTTTAATTATCATAACCTCGGGCCTGCAACACCTGGGCCCGAGCAGATGCCCCGTCAGTATACACAGCAGCACCAGGCCTGTGTCGTGGAGCGGATGCGACATCCCCACGTGCGCTCTTCACATCGGGGCTGGCGGTGCAGAGCCAGGTGTGTGAACAGGACCCCCCTCCCCCGGCCCCACCTTCAATCCCCATCCTTCCATCCGGTGGCCGGCCCCAGGGAAGGGGGGTCCCCTGAGCTGCTGGAATCAACATGCGGCTCCTCTGCCTGCACTCAGCTCCTTGCCTTCAAGGGCCAGGGGACTCAGGCAGGGAGGGGGCCGAGTGGGGCAGGAGAGTGGGAGCTACGGGAGGGACCCTGGGGCCGAGGCCGTGTCCTACTGACCCTGGAGAACAGGGTTGTGACGTCTTTGTTGGCCCGGCCACAGCCTGACACACGTTTGCTCTGAGCTCCCCCCGCCCGCCCGGCCCCACCCCCAAGACAGGCGTCACCGGTTAACAGTAAAGACACCAAGGCTGGCAGCACAGAGCCTGCAGCGAAACAAGATCCTGGACGGCTCACCCACCGCCCTGTCCCTGGACCGGAGGCCCGTGTCTAGGGAACCGCTGCACCCAGGAGAGCTTTTCAGAGAAAGCAGCTTTACGGGGACTCATCATCCCCAAGGCAGACACCACCTTCCCTCAGTCTCGGGGCGGAGCCCAGGGAGGGTGCCCCGCAGCGGCACCATACTTTCAGGGCCGGCAGGGCGGGTGGGCGGGGCAGGGCCTACAAGGCAGGGAGGCGGAGCCGGCAGAGGAAGGGGGACCTGAAGGAGCCCAGGTACAGGTGCCCGCCATGCTCGTGCGCCTCGCTCACGTAGGGGGCCACCTGGCCATCGGGGTCGTGCAGGCTCCTCCGGAAGGCCCCGCTGTCACTGAGCTCCAGGACCAGGCTGTACCGCGGCACGAGCTTCATCACCGTCTCCTGACCCAGCAGCTGCAAGGGAAGCAGAGCAGGAGAACAGGGCTGAGCAGGTGCCCCAGGGAACCCGCCCACAGCCTGGCACCTGACCCGACGACTTCCCGAGGCCTCGGCTCTCGCCTGCTCCACGCCAGTGTGGCCATCTGCCTGGCAGGCCCCGGCCAGCCCTGGAGGAACGTGACCTCAAAACAAACCCCCCACTTTTTTGTCTCGTGTGACTTCCTTCCTCCTGCCCACTCTGTCCGGGGAAGTCCTCCGTTTGGACGGCTCCTCGGAGCCTGGACTCCGGCTGCTGCACGGACACTGCCCAATCTCTGAGCCGCTGAATGAAGCTGACCAGCTCTTGGATGTTTACTCAGTTTTTAACCTTCTAGTAAAGGCCCAGCTCCCACAGCGACGGGAAAGCCACACAGGGCAGGGCCAGGTGAAACCGGCCGCAGCCCCCACAGCCCCTGCAGCCTGGGCCCACCCTCTAGCAGCCCCGCTCCGGGCACAAACCGCCCTGTCTCCTCCACTGCAGCCCCCACCCCCTACACGTACAAGCTGACTGTGTTCCAGAAGGTTCCACAGCAATCGAGCCAAGTTGCATGTTGGCTCAGAATGTCCCATAAGGCTTCCCAAGACCTTCGAACCCACCTCCTTTGATCCTAGGTCCTCCCTCTGTTCGCTCCACCTTTTCCCTAAGAGACCTCAATTCCCTCCGCTTAACAACTCGTTTTCCCAGAAAGCTCTCAACTCTCCACCTGTTTCCAGCCCTCAGGGCTACAGTTCTCACCGCCAGAACCCGTCATCACCTGGGCATTTTAACAGAAGCCCCAGCTGAGGAGACAGAGCCCCAGTCCCGTTACAAAAGCCGCCACCCGGCCACTGGCATGACTGAGCAGGGTCTGTGCGCCAGACGGTCACGCCAGAAGTCTGGAGACAGAACAGCCTGTGGTAGGAGCAGCTCTGAGGGAGCAGGTCGGCTAGTCACCTGCAGACAGCTCAAGGCAGAAGTGCCTTATCCCCTGCCCGCTGTTTTTTTTTTTAGCTCTGACGTTGTCTCAAAACTGAGAAAGAAAATCCACGAAGCTCTGGTGACACCCTGAGGAAATCGGGCTTCCTTCTCAAGTCTGCAAGGCCTGTGGTCTTCTCCCACCTCCTGACTGCTCCAGACCTGCCACTGCCCGGACACACCCACATGAAGACGCTGGCCCTGCTCCTGCCTGGACCCCCAGAATCACACCCACCACTCTGATGGAGCCCACGTGGCCCAGGAGCCGAGACACAACCCCCACCACCAACCACGTCCTCCAACAGGCACCGACACCGAGCCCCTCCCATCCTCCACTCAGGGCATCACAGGACATCATTACATGTTTCATCACCTAATGAAATGCTGCTATTCTTCCCACTTGACGGAAGAATAAATTGAGGCCGAGAAACCACGTCACCTGCCCAGGGTCCCTGAGGTGCTCAGGCCTTCCTCAAATCCTCCTCCTCACCTGCTCTGCCATCCACCTACTCCCAGGTCCCAGGAGAACAGAGGTGATTCTGCAGCCGACAACGTGTCATTTCTGAACAGCGGCCACTGACGTCAGAGCCACACAGAACGCCGTGGGCCAGCCTGACCGAGCAGCCCCTCAGCAGGGCCCACCTACAGGGCCAGGCGCCGTACGGACTCAGCCCCAGCGCTGGTACCTCCCAGACCTTCACTTACAACTGTTTCAGTGTCTGTAACTGAAGACGGGCGGAATCCCACAGAGAGGGGTGAGCAAGGGCTCTGAGGCAGAAAGAAACAGGGCGGGATGGGGGCTGGGTTGGCGGGTCTGTCCGTGCGCCCACAGGAGGGTGCACCTGAGACGCCGCCTAGGGCAGGGGGCGGGGGCAAAGTCGCAGGGTCTGGAGGGCAGGGCCGGAGGCCCCGCGGGTCACGATGGGGAAGTGGCGACGAGCACACCCAGGCAAGAAACCAGAAGGAAACACCAAGGGGCTCAAGCACCTACATTTACATTTCAGGCCAAAGGGTCGAATGTGTTTTAAAGATGTTGCGAAAAGCGCTAGATGTTATAAGCAGACTTAGAATTTTCAGAGCTTTCAAAATTAAAAAACTAGACACATTTTCATTTTGTATTTTGAAATTACAGTTTCATAATTACCTTAAAAATCAATCTTTTAAGATAGGGTCTCTCAGACAAGAAATCCAACATGGAAAAGCCAGGGTTGGAGCGAACGGCTGCCATGGCGACCCAGTACCCCCCGGAGCTGCTGGCCCGGATGTTGTCTGGGAATCCAGGCAAATTCTCCACGAACAGGTCAGCCCCTCCCTTCATCAGGCCGGACACGTAGAACCTGAAAAAGTCACCCACGCAGGCGATGAACAGCAGCCCTTCAACTGAAGGAAAAATTCTAGCCAAGCACCAAACTGGTCTTGGCCCCAAAAACCTGACGGACAAATTGCAAACGTGTCCATCGTGAACCTCACGGCTGCTGCAAGAGGCCCTCGGAGCCCCGGGCCCAGCAAGAGAAACAGGCGGCCCACAGGCAGGAGGAAGGGGCCTGGTCGCAGTCGGCACTCAGCCAAGACTCTCCCGGCCGACGCCCAAGGAGGCAGACGGAGGGGAGGGAGGATGAGCTGACCTGACCGCCCACCCCCGGGACAGGGTGCCTACCGCGTACCAGGCTCCGCAGCAACACCCACGCCCGTCCGGCCCGAGGACACGACAGCCCACGTGAGCTCGCCCACCTCCTGATCCTCGCCATGGTCGTCTCTGCCACCAGGACAAAGTCCTCCTCAGGAGAAAGCTGCACTCCGTTGGGGAACCGCAGGCGGTCCAGCAAAACCGTCACCTCCCTGGTCTTGGTGTCGTACTCCAGCAGGCTGCGGGGCGCCAACCCAGGGTCACAGGCGCGTCCGCGACCCCTGCTGGGCTGCAGCCCTGCTCCCGTCTGGGCCCTCGGGCCAGGGGCCTGTGGAAAGGGGCTCGGCCTCTGCCACAGTGGCAGGGCCCCCGCTGCTCCTCTGCTCAGACCTGGTCCCAGACTGGCCTGGGGGCCCTTCCCCACCCAGAGCACATCCAGCGTCCTCTTGCAGACAAGCCCAGGCAGTTCCCTCGCTGACCTGGGAGCTGGCTCGGCACCAGGGAGGGCTGCCACAGCTCCAGCCTCGCCGGAGTGCCCTTCAGAAACCCCGGCCGGGGTGTGAGGCCTCCCCCAGGAGCCAGACCACACCCTCAGGGGGCTGGCTGACGTGAGTTTCATTTCTCCAAAGAGAAAGTGAGACATCTTGCTGCTGTGTTGCTCCAACACCTGCTTCTGGGAGACACTCGGGTCCTATCAAAGGCTAAGTGCTACGCCCAGAAACGCCCAGGACTCCCAAGAGTGAAAAGCCCCGCGAAGTCACCCTGCCTGAGCAGAAGATGGGGAGGGACACTCACCGTCCGTCATCCGTCCCCTCCATAAGCAGAAGCAGGTAATCTCGTCTCTGCCACCTGCTGCTAGAATCAGTAAAATAAATCTTCCTCCCGTCCCGCGTGACTGTAAGATCGTTCACGAAGGACAGCCTCCTGCCCTCGATGGGGGTCTCAGAGGACAGCAGCTGTTTTACTTCCCCTGGGGGGGGGGAGGAAAAGGAGAAGGGGAAGAAGAAAGGAGGAGACTGGCTGTCAGTCCAAGAACGTCCACCTCAGTAATTCCAAAACCCTGACCAGCCTACGGGATTTAAGAGGAAAAACCACAGCAGGTGTCCCCACGTCCCAGTCAGAAGACGCACCCGTTCTCACAGGAACAGTGTTTCCCCTTCTTTCATCTGCAGGTGATGAATTTTTTAACTAAGTTCATTAAAGGCATAATCCTCCAAGATGAGAAATATCTTTTATCAAGAACAACTGACTCAAAACTCTGTTAAGCGTCTTAGGTTAAAAAGGCAGTTTTCTGTTTGACTGCCTGAGACAAATCTAAAACGTCCCCCTCGTCTGCTTTTAAATAAAGCGGCAGGAGAGGCAGTGAGTCTTCTCAGGCTGCAGCACGAATGCTCGTGGAGTGCTCAGCTCGTCCTCGGACAGTCTGGCCTGAAGCCACGGCAGCCCCTACGCAGGCTCCCACCGGCCCACCTCGCGGACGAGGGAGCGGGCACGGCCGGGCTCCGGCACGCGCCACCCGCCAGGGCAACATCCCCCACACACGGCGGAGGTCGGACGTCCAAGTGCAGGTGACGCCACCCCCAGTCAGGGGAGAGGAGCCGGAGAAGCCGGACGAAAGGAAAGGAAAAGGCAGGTGGCGAGGAAGGAAGAGGGAAGAGCGAGGGGCAGCAGACACGCAGGAGACACACAGGAAAGTCAGGAGGGGAAGGTGAGTTTGACACCCCCAGGATGAGTCCCTGAGACCCTGCGGCTCGGACCCAGACGCAGGCCCGAGCAGGCCTGCAGGGGCACTCCCAGCAAGTTGGAGAAGCAGTCACCATGGCCCACGCACAGCAAACGCTGCCAAGCCCAATGAGGCACACGCGGCTCACGGATCTGAGAGCACTGCGGGCGGGGACAGGCTGCCGTCACGTACGCTTCCTGGGGTCCACTTCAAACAGCCCTTTGTAAGCATCGGCCACAAAAAGGGTCCCGTTGGGCCCGGCCCGGACGCCCAGGGGCCTCCCACACGCAGGCTCGTCGCCTCGGGTTTCTGCGGAGACACAAGGACAGGGCTCGGCGGCGGCCCAGGGCTCCGCCAGACCCCCTCGGCGTCCCGCCCCCGCGCCATACTGCAGACAGAGAGCCCACAGCACCAGGTGGACTCTGGCCCTGGACTCCAGCCCCCAGAGCACAGCACAACTGCCCGACAGGTCGGGAGGGGCCACCCGACAGTCTGGAGGTGGACACAGCACAGCAGCTGGTACCCAAGGCTGACGTGCACACCAGCACCCTGAGACTCAGTGAACTCAGGGACATCAGCTGACCCAGAACCGACTCCAGAATCCCCCAGGACCTCAGGAGCTGTGTTTAAGCCCAAAAGCTGGACCTCAGCACTGTGCCCGTCCAGGGCCGTGGCAGTTCCCTCCACCCATCAGGAAGGGAGCGCTGCTGTCTTACTCCTCGGAGCAATGCTCCTGCCCGACCACCTATCCTTTCTCTACACCCGTCCTACAGCCTCTTGACAGCCGGGCACTCACTGCAGGGCACTTAGGCCAAAATAACGGAGTCCAACAATGCCTGTCAAATACCCAAATGCAGAGTATTAACCCCATCTCATAAAACCATTCGTGGATGTGAGTATCCACAAACAGAAAGCTGAAAAGTCATTCAATAAAACACTGACAACGGTTACATCTGAGAAAACTCCGGGGCATTTTCACTTTCTTCTTTGTGTTGTTCGCATTTCACCATGAAAATGCATCGTTTTTACAAAAACATGTTAGCTCTCAGAAACGGGTAACTAACAAGTCTGTGGGCTACCCGTTTTTAAACAGTGGGCTTCTGAGTGACCCGTGGGCGTCTGGCTCTGGAGGAGGGGCTGAGGTTCCGCGGGGCAGCCCCAGGACAAAGCCGAGAGCCTCCTGCAGCAGCTCCGAGGACACAGGCCTTGCGGGGGGAGGGGCGGCAGGGCCCTGGCCACAGCACGGAGGGGAAACGGCCACCACAGCCGGTGACACTCAGGCAGGCTCTTCTCCTCCAAGGAGAACGCAGCTCCACTGGCCACCCCGTGCCTTCCTGAACAGCTAGAAGAGACATACACCGGGGGTCACCAACTCACTGCATGGGCCTGAGCCAAATCGGGCGATGGTCTCTACGTCACCGCGGTCCAGCTTTACAACCCGGCCATCTGCTGTGCCAGTGAACATCACATCTGTTTAAAAACAGGAAGGAACAAGGGTGTTACTGGGTTAGCCTGAAAACTGGGCTCACACCACCTCCTATAACAGAGGCAACCGGTTTGTGCTTTTTATCTCCAGGGGAAATGGCAGCTCTGAAGATGAAGGCAAGCCGTGTCTGAGGACAAAAGTCCTGAACACGCGCAGCAACAACCCCGTGGAGGCGCGGAATCAGCACGGAGCAAGGGCACAGCAGACAGCAGTCAGTGATGCACACAGGGGTTCTACCCTGAAAGGGGCAGGGGCCCTCGAGCTGACGCTTGGCGCTGGGGGCTGTTCACGTCCTCCTCATGTCAGTGTCTGCTGAGCCAAGTGCACCCAACCAGAGGGGAAGAACTGCTGGGCGGGCCCTCGGAGCCACGTCAGAGCAGCCTGAGCGCTCACCTGAGCTGCACAGACAGCAGTGCTGGGACCACCCAGAGACTGCGGTGACTCGCAAGCTCATGAAATGCTCCTTGTTTCTAATGTGTGTGGCAAACTCCAGGGCCACCACTAACAGAAGTTTTTAAAGTGAGTATACCTGATATGTTAAGAAAGAAAACAGAATCGTAAGATGCTCAACTGAAACTGCTCAAGTCAGAAAGAGTGGAAGAGAAAGTAAGGAACAAGAAAACAAAGACAATGAAAAGAAAACAGTAACAAATATGGCAGACACTAATCCAACCACAGCTGACCCCTGAACAACCTGGGGGCTGAGGTGTCGACCTCTGCACAGTTTGGAAGTCAGTGTATAACTTTATGGTCAGACCTCACATCCGCGGGTTTCCGCACCTGATTTTAGCAACTGCGAATCAAGTAGTGTGGCAGAACTTATTGAAAAATCCCGTGAATAAGTGGGCCCACACAGCTCAAACCTGAGCTATTCAGGGATCAGCTGGGTATCAGTTATCATTTTAAATGTCAATGGTATAAATACCCCAATTAAAAGACAGACGGTCAGAGTGCATCAAAAAGCAAGGCCCAACTACAGGCGGCCCACCAGAAACCCTCTTTAAACAGACACACGCAGATCTGAGCTGCAGGGCTAGAGCAAGCTGCACCGCGCTCACACCAGCCAAGAGGAAGCTGGAGTGCCCTGCTGGCCGCGGGCGGCGCAGAGCAGAGCTAAGGGAACCATCGGGAGGAAGGGGGCCGGCACTCACGACAAAGCACCAGCTGCGGAGAAGAACCGGCAGCCCAACACGTGTGCGCCTCACAGCAATCACCGAAGAACAGGAGGCAGAGCTGGCAGAGCCGCAGGAGACGGAGGCGGGGCCCCCAGCAGCGGACAGCTCCCGCAGACGGAGTCGGGAAGGACACCGTGGGACCACCAGCACCATGGGCTAACTGGACATAACTGTCACCCTTCCACCACCTCATGCCAGCAACAGCGGAACACCTATCCTTCTCAAGCTCACGTGGGACGTTCACCAAGACGGACCACGTTCTGTGTCACACACCTTAACAAATTAAAAAAACAGAAATCATACAATGTCTGCTCTCAGACCAAAACGAAATTAAACTAGAAGTCAGAAACAGAAAGAGCAAGAAAATCCCAAATACTTAGAGATTAAACAACTCACGCTTCTAAATAGCACACAGGTCAAAGAAGAAATCACAAGGGAAATTAGAAAAAGTTCTGAACTAAATGAAAATGAAACACAACCTGTCAAAATCTACTGGATGCAGAGAAAGCAGCGCTTAGAGAGGGCGACAGCATCAAAGGCCTGTATCAGAAGAGAAGACAGACCTCAAACCAATTATCCAAGCTTCCAGGAAAAGACCAGGAAAAGAAAAAGTAACTGAAACCTTAGGTAGGCAGAAGAAAGAAAGAATGAAAATTAGAGCAGATATCAAATGAAATTGAAAACAAGAAATCAAGAGAGGAAAATCAACAATACTAAAAGCTAGTTCTTTGAAAAGATTGATAAAATACGTCATCTCCAGACCAGGCTAGCAAAGAAAAAGACAGTCATTACCAGCAGCAGCAATGGAGACGGAACATCGCTACAAACCCCGCAGACGTCAGGAGGATAACGAAAGCACACCACGAACAAGTGTGTGTCCACAAGTTTGGTACTGGAGATGAAATGGACCAATTCCTTCAGAGACACGATCTGCCAGAACTCATACGAGAAACAGACAGCTTGAACAGGTCTACGTCCACTGAAGAAATGAATCAACGGTTACCACCCTCAAGAACAGCACCAGGCCGACAGGCTCACTGACGAGCCGCACCCGACGCTTAGGGGAGGGACCGTCTCTCCCAGAGAACAGAAGCAGAGGGAACGCTTTTCAACCCGTTCCACGAAGCCAGCATGGCCCTGGTACCAAACCCAGGTAAAGTCACTTCAAGGAAACAGACCAGTATCTCTCATGGACGAAGATGCAAAAATCCTCAACAAATCTCCGATCTTTCCCCTCAGTTTGGCTGTGAATCCAAACTGCTCTAAAACGTAACATGTGATTAAAATAACTCAAGGATGTTCATGGGTGATCCTCCCCCAGAATCCCGAGGTAAGCGCATCCCTCCACCGTCAGCCACGTGCAGCCCCCCCACCCCACCCGAGGCAGCAGCCGTCACGCCGCAGTAGGGAACCAGAAATGTCACCAGGAGGACATGCAGCTCCTTTAGGAGAGAAAAGGGAGCCTGAGGACAGAGCAGGATGAGACTCCAGGCCAAGTGGGAAAGACAAGAAAAGCATTCTCGGGGAGATCTTCTTTTAAAAAGATCACTTTAAGTCTCAAAGTTCCAGTTTTAAATATCAATACTGAATTTTTTTTAGCAAAACACACAATTGGGAAAATAATAAACATCAACGTCTCTTTAAGAGAAACGCGAAGCTCTGGAATGATGTGCCCATCCCCCGTGGGCAACTCTGACTCTGCCAGACAAACAGCAACGGCCACTGCAGCGCGGCCCCCACCTGCCGAGAACAACAGGACCACTCTCGCTGCAGGGCCTCGGCCTCGAGGGCAAAGTGCTGGGAGGCCCTCCCGCCACTCAGGTCCAGAGCCTGTCCGTTGACTGCTCTTACGACCCCTCCGCTCACGTCGCATCCTCACAGGCAGAGAAGGCCTGTTCCAGGTGCCGCAGACTCCAGAATTAGAACCAGACCCTATTCTGGTTCTTAGGTTTGGGCACCTGAAGCAGATGGTTACCCTTAAATGTACCCACCGAAGTGAGCTTTAAGAAAAACAGAAATATTGAGGAATAGTTCCTGTTCTTTTCACAGGTGAAATCTACACAGAGACAGTCTGAGCAAGAAAACAAGGTCTCGTCAAGCACCCCCTGCCCAGCTCTGACAAGTGAACCAAACATCAGCGTCGGCGTTTTTCTCTCTCCTCTCGTCTTAAAGGGCCCAACAATCTGAGCAGAAGAAAGTGCTCCAGAGACGTGAACTCAGAATCACCCAGCACTGAAACAGCCTGCAACTCGGAGAGGCGAGCGGCCCCACGGCGAGTCTGCTGGACAAACACGCACGTCCACAGCCAGGAAGCCTGCCCGGGCCTCCCCACTCGGGCAAGTCAGCTCGAGGTCCCAGGCCTCTACTTACCCCCGATATTTGCTATAGACTCCGGCCCAACAAGCTGGTTTTCAAACAGCCGTTCCGCCTGTCGCAACCTTGTGTTTGCTTGCAGAACACCGAGCAAGAGAGGGGGTTCTTTGAAGCTGGAAAAGAACGCAATTATAGGGATCTGTCTGTAAAAACACATAAAGAAAGTATTTACTAAGGACCTACAAGGACCTACATGCAGACTCCCCGTTCGTTAATAAGTCGGGCACATTCCCGTAACATCCTTAGTTGCCAGAAGCACAAGTTCAGGAAAAAAACTTCCCGAGCTACCGAAAAGGTCACAGCACAAAACAGGACTGAAAACAGAAATGCGGCTAATGCCACTGAGAGCACCAGGCCCACCTGTCCAGTTGCTCAC